ACAAGAATAATTAATAGTATTATATTATACTATTTTATGTTAGGCTAGCTTACTGAGGCATTTTTAAAATCTAACCGATTTAATTAATTTATTTATTTTATTTACCCAGCCACAACCCAACCGATCTATCAAACAGAAGTAGTTTGTTTCTCCAGAATTTGAAGACCTTTCTATCAATGCAATTTGATCTTCTATTGAATCTTGGAGCCTATGAAAGGAAAAACAACTATAGCGTTTAACGGTTTTGATCGTTTAACAGACTACAACATTAAACAACATTTAATTACACATAATCAAGCAAGTGCGAATATAACATATTACGTAAAATGTTGGCAGCTTTAATGTTTCCTGTTGCTTCATGTCTATATAGTGATTCGTGTCAACAACCGAGACAAATCACTGTTGATGATGTTAGGACCTAAGAAACTATGCAATACTTAGTACCAACATATTACGGTTCAAACCTATCAATGTCGCACTATTATAAGAGAGTAAGATTTTTTTCTACTTATTTTACATGTAGGAACGAATAAACAATATTAAAATCGTACTAAAAATTGTTTTGGATAATCCCAACTATCGAATTCATGCATCAGAACCACCAGATTAATGAGGCAGTAGAAACATATCAATGCCTATAATATTACTTAACTAGGTATATGTATTGCAATGATAGAAATGTTTTGAAAGAAAGCACTTTAAAACGCCATATTTATCATATCAAAGCGTTAAAGGGTCTGTCACTCGCGTAAAAGTACATAAAAAACGTTTTTTTAGGTCTTCAAAACCGGCAAGTGTGGATTGTGAGTTCTGATTTCAGCGTAATCCAAATTATTTACTATGTTTATATTCAAACCAAGGACCATCAAATTCTATGCGACGCGTTTAACCACAAAGCCACGGAGCAACTCTTACGTCGTTGTATGGTAATTCGTGGAGATGTGGGATAATTAACATCTAACAAAATGCGACAAAATTACGTCAGGGCAAAAAAGTGGATTAATTTTCAGCACGCAATCTTCGGAAGAGACATGTGTAATGTTGCATGTATTGTATTGCTTCCGGATTAGTATATATATGGTGTCTTAAAATATGAGATCAAATTAAATAGATTTTGACAAGGGTTTAAGATTTCTGGGCAGTCAACGTTTTGAAAACGTTCCGTTTTATTTAAATAAGATACATAGTTACCGTTTAAATAAAACACTTTAGCGGTTTAAAACGCGATATATATTAGTTAAACCTTTTTGATTTAACTTTTTTAATTTAACTACGGCCGAACGTTTCCGATGCTTTGCAGCGGCCGTGGTCTCGTTTTAAACCGATAAAGGGTTTTTATTTAAATTTGTTCTACTCGCTTAAACTACAGACAGTAACACAGTTACCGTATTATTTTTTTTTTTTCACCAAGAGAAACTGGAAAAACCGTTGACAGCGTTACATTTAAATGTGTACTACTAGAGTAAATTAAATACTTAATACGCGTTTAATGCTTATTGGCTTAACAGAACACCATGTGTCATTTATATATACAATACTGATCGCCTTGTCTTGTGTAATAAAATGTCAACAGTTGTCGTTTTGCTTTAATTGTAATCCGCGTTTAATCCGTGCTTTAAGTGTAAAATATGCATATTAAATTAAGTGTGAATGTCGACATACTAAAAGGATATCAAGGAATGAAATTAATAAAAAAATTATGAGTAGTTGAGAGGCGTAGTATAAGATTTTTTAAAATTTATAATCTACATTATGTTTAATTAAAACACTTTAACGGTTTAAAACGCGATATATTAGTTAAACTTATTTAAAAAATGATTTTTAACTTCGGCCCGACGTTTCGGATGCTTTGCAGCAGCCGTGGTCACGGGGAGACCGTGTCTCAGTGTTTTATTTAAATGTGTACTACTCGCGTAAACTATAGATAGAATCTACATTATAACTTATTTTATTTTCATTTAAAAAATAGGAGAATTATCTGTAATATTTATAAATTGTAAATTTAAATAATAATGTTAAAAATAATACTTACAATATAAAAGGGGCACTTAATAATGAAAAATTGAAAAATAATTTCACACGCGTGTTTCGCACACTGTTTAATCTGTGGTTGATATTTTCGCGCGTAAACTGTAGCAGGGCGCAATAACAACTGACAGATCGTTAATGTGCTAGAAGTTCCCTTTCCAATGGGCTGAGTGAGAGTTTGAAAACTTTGAAATGTTCACGCAGTATTATGTTACAATATTAATACATGTAGGATTAATCCAGTACTGGTTCTGTAGAAATATATATTTTATTAAGTTTATTCTTAAGTACTGATATACAAATAAATTATTTATCTTACCCTAGTGCTTTGATGATTTAAAATAAGATCCATAAAAGTTTCGTGTGTTAAAAGTTGCAAATAGCAAATAAATAGAGGAGCAGACATATCTGTGTCTGATTTATTAACTATCGTTATTGAGAGGTGAGCGGGGATTTAAACCCAGGACTTACTATTTAAATAAGACCAATATGTTTAAATAAAACACTTTAACGGTTTAAAACGCGATATATTAGTTAAGCTTATTTGAAAATGATTTTTAACTTCGACCCAACGTTTCGGATGCTTTGCAGCAGCCGTGGTAAAAAAGTTTAACTAATATATCGCGTTTTAAACCGTTAAAGTGTTTTATTTAAATGTGTACTACTCGCGTAAACTATAGACAGTATTTAAGATAAATGTGTTTACTGTTTTAGCCAGTCGTATAATACAATGTACTACGCTAGGAAAATATAGTGTAGAAGCTAGGACAGTGTATGTTAAATTGTACCGCGTGTCTAAAGTCTTAAATTACTCAACGATATCAATGAAAAATGCTGACCCCTAGAAATTTTCCATTTAACTTAATTTATTTATTTATTTTCATTAAAAACATATTCTAACTTTTTAAGTTAAGTACTGTCTGTAGTTTACGCCAAATACCGACCGGAACAGATGGCGCTGACGTAGTAGTTTCTTACTTTGATGTCAGAGACACAGTCTTCATCTTTAGTCTCCCCGTGACGACGGCTGCTGTTAAAATAATTTTGAAATAAGTTTAAGTAATATATATCGTTTTAAACCGTTAAAGTGTTTTAAGTAAATCGGAAAAAGTTAAGTACTTTATGCGATTAGTACACATTTACATAAATAGTTTAGTTAAATTACGGCCCGACGTAGTCAGGTGATTTGCAACAGCCGTGGTCGCGGGGACTCTCCGTAAGTTTAACTAATGTATTTCGCCTTTTAAACCGTTAACGTGATCGTATTAGATTTACTGGATTTTACTGTATTTGGTGATTTGGTAACGACGCATTAAAGTAGTAGTTTAACAGTAGAGAAATCTAGGAATTGGAAAAAAAGACGATTTTTTTCTTATATAATGACAAAAACAAACCTAATAAAACCACAAAGATCGTAATGTCGATGATGCTACACACATTAATAGCGAGCTTTCCAAAACAAGTTTAAGCATCAATTTAGTAGGTAAATAGAGTATATACATTAAATGTTATAACTAGTTATACTTGATTTCACTAAGCCAACCAAAACATTGTTAAATGAGGCTTTTGACGGGTCGTTGGTGTAATGGCAACGTATGGCTTAAAATCAACAAGTCGTGGCTCCATTCACGGGTCCAGCATTTTTCTAAACAATTTTCAACTTTTCTGAAACATATTGGATTTCGTCTGAAAATTTTAATACTTAATGAGTGGTAAGAATATCGAAATTTCGTCTAGGCCAAGAACCACCGACCACAAATAAAAAAGACGCCATGTTTAATTGTGTTTCGGCTATAGTCTGTAGATCTTCGAAAAGCCAAATGAGATCGACGGCGCATCTTGTTTAGGTGTTATACGGCTGGAGTATTTCACCTACCCTCATAAAAACATTTGAAATGGACTTTCCCTGGTAGAGGCTAAAGGCAGTTCTTATATGACTTATCTAGTCGTGCCCCTATAGCGTGCTGAGGCTCTTCTTAACATGGATGGCAAACCTAACTGTTCCTATAGCATAGTCGAGCAATAATTAGTATAAAGTACATAAACTAGCGAACTACGTTTCCACCCCAAGGATAGGTCCGTAGCAACGAGCCACCCCTTGCAGACAAATTTTAAAGACCCATTATAATATTTGAAAAACTTATTTATTTTACGTGTGATCGCAAACTAGCTGTGACTTCCTCCGTGTAACCTCCTTACCTTTATTATTATATTTCTTGTGTAAATCACAACGTCCTCCGGATTGCGTCGTTCTTGTTAGTTAATTTTAAAAGATATAGTAATACTTATCTATAATATAGCAAAACATAATATAGTCAAGGACCATTTTTAGATCATTTAAAGAGAAATGATTTTTCCATACATATTTTTTGAATACATATCTTAAATCGTTTTCGTAGCGCACGAAACAGAAACTCCCGTAGATTTTCCATGTCCCACTGTTTTTTGTTCTCATTGACCAATAATTGATGTTTGTTCAATGATTTGTGAAATTGATATTTTATAGCCAATACTAGAATTATTTTTTAATTCGAACCAGTAGTTCCTGAGATAGCGCATTTAAACAGACAAACTCTTCAGTTTTATCATATTAGTATAGACTATAGGTATAATAGCCATCGGTAATGGCATAATTTAAACCAATTATATTGATGTTGCAACATTTATCCAAATCGAGGAGTAACTTAATCTGTGGTAGAAATCAAATTCAAATATTATACACTGTAATCTTTACTTGGATTTTGACTTTTTGCTTATCTATGCTTCTTAAAAATTGTGTTATTATGATAAGGTGTTATTACTTATTAGATGTTCTTTGTATTTAGTTTTCAACAATTTATTAATTTTCCCCTCACAGTTATTGTTGTGACTTATTATTGTGCATAGGGAAGAAAGATAAATTTTTTTACGCTTGCATCAATTTACTAATATCCTAAAAGTTTAAAAGATCATATACCAATAACGCAAACAACATGGATGTGACTAAAATAGAGAAAACGAAGTTTCTAGCACCAGATGTAGCTATAAGTGCAGTTCTATCACCAAGCCAAGAATTACCAGCGGAGACTCCTACAGTTTGCGGCTATGACTGGGAAAATGGTACAGATTACAACAAGATTCTTGAAAGCTATGCCCGTTCTGGGTTTCAGGCTACAAATTTTGGAAAAGCAGTCACAGAAATTAATAAAATGTTGAAGTGTAGGTCTATACCATTGACTGATGAAAACCGTGATCCCTATGAAGAAGATGTATTTATTAAAAAGACAACTAATTGCACCATTTTCTTAGGATATACATCTAATATGATTTCCTCTGGCTTACGAGATACCATAAGATTTCTGGTTAAAAATAAACTTGTAGATTGTATTGTGACAACAGCTGGAGGTGTTGAAGAAGATTTTATTAAATGCCTTGCTCCTACATTTATAGGAGACTTTAATTTAAGTGGTAAAACACTGCGCACCCGAGGTATTAACAGGATTGGAAATCTCTTAGTCCCAAATGATAATTATTGCCTATTTGAGGAGTGGGTTACACCATTGCTCAATGAAATGGTTGATGAACAGATTCAAGAAGGAGTAATTTGGACTCCATCGAGAGTAATCGCTAGATTAGGAGAAAGAATTAATGATGAAAGTTCAGTCTGTTACTGGGCTTGGAAAAATAACATTCCTATCTTTAGCCCAGCATTAACAGATGGCTCTTTAGGAGACATGATGTATTTTCATTCATATAAAAAACCAGGATTAGTTGTTGATATACTTGGAGACCTTCGGAGACTTAATACAATGGCTGTTAAGGCAAACAATACTGGTGTAATTATTCTAGGTGGAGGTGTAGTTAAGCACCACATTTGTAATGCAAATCTAATGAGAAATGGAGCTGATTTTGCAGTGTATGTTAACACTGCTAGTGAATTTGATGGAAGTGATTCTGGGGCGAGGCCAGATGAAGCAGTGTCTTGGGGAAAAATAAGACCAAATGCAACTCCTGTTAAATTATATGCAGATGCGACATTAGTGTTTCCATTAATTGTTGCTCAGACATTTGCTAAACATCATTTTAGTAATAAAAAAAATGTGTAAAAATACTTTTCATTTTTCTCCCCTGTACCAATTATACTTAAGAAAATTAAATATAATATATGACCATATCTAAATGTGGCATTTATTGACCAACCGCAGTTATGTAAGACAGTTTAAAATATGCTTTCTATTATTTATTTATTACATACTATAATCCTAAAATCAATATCAAGTATAAACATTTAGAAAAGAGACACCTGTGCTGTAAGTCGTGAAACTTTAGAAATGTATACTAAAACTTACTATTATTTGCCATTTTATTTGAATTTACCTTTAATGGGTAGGTTTTAAGTCTGTTCAAGAAATTAATTTAATTCCCATTTTTGATCGATGATTTAGGAAAAAATATATGTATTGTCAAAACACAATTTGGCAATTGACATGAAGTTTTAGCCGCTGCGTGTTGTCAGTGAAGGCTTCGCCGAACTTCACTTCACAAAAACCAACAATTTGATTTTGTAAAACCGCACACCAGTCTCCACTTAGTTCGCGTCGTTTGTTGGAAGGAGCTGTCGTGGTTGAGATCACGGAGAGTCTTTTATTATTTTGTGCTTCCAAATGCATCTTCCGAGAGATTTGTAACATAAAAATGCTTGCCTCAGCTCTTAAGTATATTGTTTAATCATTTCGTGGACTGTCAATAATTGATTAGTGCTCAAAAATGTGTTTATGTCGCCGGGTCTTGTTGATTTTTCTGCTAACAACCGGTAAGTTGCATCCTTAGTCCTGTGCTATTTTTAGTTTACGGTCATTCGGGGCAGATATTAATGAGATTTAGTTAGGATATATAATTCGTTGCACGTTTTCGGTGTTCTTTGATGTATGAATCGTTTTGTTGCTGTTTGTTTGATCGTAGTTCTAATAATAACAATGTTTACAATGAATGTGATGTACATTATATTAATTTTATATTGTAATGGGTTCTTTGAAGTCTATTTTGGAATCCCTTTTCACCATTTATTCTAATTGGGCAGTGACTAAATTAACAACTACCATTAATAATGATGCTTTTGTGTCTTCTTTTATGTAAAAGGTATACAAATCTAAATTGTTTGATGGAGTAAATGAGACACTGAACAAAATAGTTTATAATGAGACAAATATGTCCACAAGTGAATATGATGCTTAGTTTCAACATATAAATTGGATAAAACTATAAGTCTAGTAATAGCAGTAGAAATATTGCATGATGGAGAACAGCAAATCGTTTGGATTTGCTGTTCTTCATCATGCAATTAATGCAGATCTGTAAGTTTCTTATTTGAAATTTAAAATACAATATAATGTTACATTAATCATATACTTGTATTAAGGGTTTTCAAGTGTTGATTTTCCCTTGTAATGTTAAGATAATCTACACAATCTGGGAAATCATAAAACTACATTATTTTGTTTGAGGAATAATAATGGTTGAAATTACCCTAATTGTTAGACGTTATGATTACTCATAACTATGATATGATGTGATGTCAACCTATTTAGTTTTTGATATGACAAATTCCACAGCCTGAAACTAAAATGTTTTTTTTGTGTTTCATGACCTAGATGGAATTTTGATATTCCCGACTTAAGTAATGTCTAGCGTTTTGAGAACATGATTTAAGAATATAACCAAATAAAAATAATTTTATCAAACTCATAAAACCCTGTGAAAAAATTATAAATTTGCGTGATAAAATAAACAGCAAGTAATTACAAAAAATTAAATGAAATTCCATTAATTTTAATGAACATGTTATATAAAAAAAATATTAATGATATTCCTACCATCCATTTAATATCCAGGTTTTCAGATGAATTCTAACATATTTAAAAGATATATAAATTTATTAGAAAAATTTTGGATCCAGCGGGAATCAAATTCATGACCTGTTGATTATTAGCCATAAATTGCCACTGTTACAGCATCAAACCCTTTACAAAAAGTTAATGTTTTTGAATCAATATTTAGTAAGTTAAAAATTTGGTATTATGTAGCTACTTTTTGTACAGACCTAATTCTTTTGTATGTACCTACGCTTAATAGTGTAATGCATATCATTATTTCCCTAATATAATTACTTATAGCACATAATATAAGTTGGTTGTTATAATAGTTTATTATTTCATTAATATAAAATCTATATTAAGTTGTATTTCTTAATCTTTCATCGACTTAAGCCTAAACTTATCTGTTGTAAAAATCTAAAATTGCTAAATACTGAGAATTAATGTAAACTTTAAAAATCGAAAATAAATTGAACAAATTTTCGACTCGGGCAGAACTTGAACCGGCATCGGCAGCGTTCCGTGCTGTCGCTCTACCAATTGAGCTATCGAGTCTTTTTTTACCTAAACATTTCAAATCCACTCTACTTATCCTTTATTCGAGTATATTCAGGCCACAGAACTTACAAAACACAGTTTCCACACGGTCAGAGAGTAAATTTAATATTTTTTATATTCCCGCATTCATCCCGTTTCATCCGCAACCCATTACGTTTCTACATTAAAAACTTCATTACATAAATGTACGCTTCCACTCGCCTGCTTATGTTAATGTATTGCGGGTTTATGTATGAATATTTACATTTTAAACCCTTTTAAATTAAATATAGCACGGCGAAGCAGTTTCGATCCGATATACACTGAGTAGTTTTAGTTTTTGAATAATACTCTGTGTGGCTAGAGCGGCGCATTTAAGGAGTTGCTAATGGGAACTCCTCAAATGCCTCCCTCCCCCCCAACCGCTCCCTGTATGTCAAATTAATACGAAACCTAAAAATCTTAATCTAGCAAACTTATTATATTTTACCCCACACAATGTATATTTGTAATTGAATATCTGATTCTAAACATTTTGGCGTCTGAAAATCTGGTTCTGATTATAAGAAGGGTTAGACAAAAAATAAGTTGACCTAATATAATACCTACCTATTTCGCGTTTCAGATTGACAAACATATATTTAAATGTACTCTTTAATTAACTACAGAAAATACATTTGAAATATCCAAATATCGTCCAGGATACACCCAAGCGTTCATTGATAAGAGTCAAGAGCTAATTTCCTTAATTATAGTTTTTTAAATGTCCTGCAATATAAGGTCACTAGACGTAGAGTAGCCTAACTGCAATTTTATGACTTGAGTTATATTTTCATAGTTCAAAAATGTTAATATACAAGAACACAGTAACCGAAAATTGTTAACATAATTCTTACACAAATAATAGTACAAACTCATTTTCGCCTAAATTAATTGCGCAATTTTTATTTTTCTCCATATTGAAAAATCATGTTTTTTGTTATTAGGCCACTCTGCCTCTAGCAGCCTTATATGAGTGTCACAATTAATTGTCGGCTAATCAAAAGTTTCAAATACCTAGAATTAAACATACGTTGAATGATATCACAGATTGTGTTAACACTTGATATATGTTGTTACAATTAAAATCGCTGATACATTGTCTCCAGTTAACGCTGCGTTCGCGTTCTGACTATCGCAACATCTATACTAATATTATAAAGCTGGAGGATTTGTTTGTTTGAACGCGAAAATTTTTGAAACGACTAGTTTGAATTGAAATTCCTTTTCTGATGGTTAGATCATTTATCGAGGAAGGCTTTAATTATGACTATGAATAGGACACAAGAAACAGTGGAAAAACGGGGAAAATTGTTCCAAAAGATCCAAATTCCAAGAACGACGGGACGCGACCGACGTCGCGATTAACAGCTATTATTTGTAAAGATGAAGGTTTGAAAAAAAAATAATGGTGCCCAAAATAACTATTCTTCGCGGACAAAGTCGCAGCCACAACTAGTAGAAAATATGTCGCTTTAAAAATGCCAGTTTGTATGCATGTGAAACTCGACCTGGTTTGAGAAAAGTATACTTTTCCGCTCTGGTTTTACTTATTAATTATTGCTTCAATATAGTAGTGTCTGTAATTATTGATGGCCTCGTTGGTGTAATGGTAGCAATGCGTGGCTACCAATCAACGGGTCGTGGGACCGATCCCCACCGGATCCAGCATTTTTCTAATCAACTTTACAATTTTTCTAAAACATGTTGGCCTTCGTCTGAAAATGTTCATTCAGTCGGTGGTAGGATGTGAAAATTCTGTCCATTCCACGAACCACCGATTATGGAAAGAAAGCCGTTAAGTTTAATCGCAATTCGGTTTGAGTCTGTAGATTTCCGAATATCCAAAGCCAAAAATAGGCATTTTGTTCTGATTTTCACCTACCATAAAGTGAACTTCATGGTAGTCTCGCCTCCTATACTTATAAAAAAGCGTCCCACGGCTAGGAACAGACCTTATCTCTCATAGCAAACTCTGGTCCATATCTGGTGAGTGAAGATTGATTCCGTCCGACCCAGGATTTTAACCTGGGACCTAGTAATTTGGCTCGAGGCAGACTGTCATATTTCCATGCATCATTTCGTGGTCACAAAAAACGCAGGTACGGACAGCAGGGAACGAAAGTTAATCAAGTTCGGTTAATGAACATAAATCGTAAATTTAGGATGGAGGCGTGGTCAGGGTAACTTTTAAATGATAGGTCCCATGAGACCCGAATGGTAAATACATAGTTTAGTGTTATTATACATTTCATAATTTTCTAAAGGTTTATTTTGAATCAGTTGATTAAAATAATAAATGCTTTATAATCTATAATAATATATAAAGCTGAAGAATTTGTTTGTTTCCTTGTTTAGACGCGCAAATTTAAGGAACTACTGGTTCGAATTGAAAAATTGTTTTCGTGTTGGTTAGAGGCATTTATCGAGGAAGGCTTTTTAGGCTATAAATCATGTGCTGATGTGAAATAGAAGGATATGAGGAAATAACAGTGAAGATTATTCGTGGATTTTGTTTATTTCGTGCCCCGCAAAAACAGGTCAAGATACCCAAAAAATATGTATGAAACAATGATTCCTCTTTGATGTAACCTAAAAAGTTTCCATGACAGACATATTTTCTACCCTTTAAGATTAAAATGCAAAAACAACTGGACGCAGCCGATGTCATGGGAAACAGCTATAATTTATAAATATAAGATGGAGGTTTGCAAAAAAGGGGTTTTTGTTGCCCAAATTACTGTTCTACGAGGACAAAGTCTCAAGCATATCTAGTTAAATAAAAGTTATTATTTAGCGCAAGAAGCCGATATGCAAGACCTCAAAAACATTTTACCTAACTACAACCGGCATAAGCCCGACATAGATAAAAATGGTCTGCGTTTTTTCGAAATTAGCCATCAACGCGCAAGCCTTTTAGTTGATGAGAGTTTCAGACAAAAAGCGCGGGCTTTCTGAGCGTTTACCTGGCGGTAATTAGGCTGAATTCTCCGGAGTTATCGAGAGTTCCTCGTTCAGTTTTTACCCGTTGATTCTGTGGGTTTTAGCGCTTAACTGGCGGAGGTGAAAAAGGATAACGTGCTGAGATCCGCGGCGTAATTCCTGATGGAGGATAGGCAAGCGAGGGGTTCACTCGACGGGTGGTGAATAATATTGAGATTAGGCGGTATTTAATTAAAACTTTCTTAAATAAAACGCTTTAACGGTTTAAAACGCGTTTTAAACCGGTTAAGTGTTTTATTTAAGTGTGTACTACTCGCGTAAACTACAGACAGTATTTAACACTTCTTGTAGAATTCTTTTTAACATAACCAACTTATCTGTTACTATTGACAAGTTGCCATAGTTTATATAGAGACAATGT